GGGGGGGGGGGGGCTGCTGTGCTGTCGCCGCGGCTGCGACTGCCGTATGACCGAGGGGTGTGTTCGTGGGTGTGTGTGTGTGTTTGGGGGGGGGAGTCGAAACGAGCGGTGTCGCTCCGCAACGCGACGCCTCTGTCAGCAGTACTTGATGCTGCCTGCGCGCAGAAAACGCCGCCGCCAAAGTACTTCATACCTGCGGCGCCGCCAGAAGGCGTGTGATCGCACCGGCCAAGAGGAGTGCGGTGCCCTCGGCTCCTCTCGGCTCCTCTCGGCTCCTCTCGGCTCCTCTCGGCTCCTCTCGGCTCCTCTCGGCTCCTCTCGGCTCCTCTCGGCTCCTCTCGGCTCCTCTCGGCTCCTCTCGGCTCCTCTCGGCTCCTCTCGGCTCCTCTCGGCTCCTCTCGGCTCCTCTCGGCTCCTCTCGGCTCCTCTCGGCTCATCTCGGCGTACCGCCCGAGATGAGCGCTCCGCCGATCATGAGCACGGCCATCCCGACGACGACAGGCGGGAACATCTTCTCGCGAACGAATTTTTTGTTGAATGTGAGGGCGATGAGGATCTGGAGTGGGGCGGGGCGGGGCGGGGCGGGGGGGGGGGGGGGGGATCTGGTGGGGCGGGGCGGGGCGGGGCGGGGCGGGGGGGGAGGGGAGGTTGGGCCTCCAAAATGGAGGCCACCGCCGCGGTGCCGAGGAACTTTCCGTACGCCTCAACGCCGACGCCTTGGCAGTCGGTGACGAGGGTGTCCGTGTCCTTGTAGGGCATGTTGGGCAGGCAGCGCGGGTCTCCGGTGGCCTGAGCAAAAATGGGGCGAGGGAGGATGGGGAGGATGGGGCGAGGGAGGGGTGCGGCGAGGGTGCGGTTGCAGTTTGGGGGGGTGCAGTGGAGCGGAGGGGCATGTGTGGGGCATGACTAGGGGGGAGGCGGTGTCGGGGAGTGTGTGTGTGTTTGAGGGGTAGGCCTTGGCATCCTCGATGTAGTTGGTAATCATGGCCTGGCCCATCGGGAGGAAGGTGAAGGAGGTGCCCATGACCTGCGACAACACACGGGGAGGAGGGCGGCACATATGAGGCCCCCATCGCTTGGGGTGGGTGGCCGCGGGGCAAAAGAGCGGCACACGCCGAGACGAGGCCGGTGCCGATCGAGTACGGGGTGCCGACGATGCGCAGCCGGAAGACCTGGAGGTGAGCGCGGAGCTGTGGGGTGTGTGTTGCGCCAGGGTCACGCGGCGAGGGTGTGTGGAGGTGGCGGAGGAGAGGGGGAGGGGGAGGGGGACGGGGACACGGGAAATGGCGCGCGGAGCGAGGGGGCGTGTGTGGAGGCCTGGATGATTGTGAGCAGTCCCGAGGCCAGCCACGAGCAAGACACGAGGAAGCTCTGCCGGTCGCACAGCTCTGAGTCGTAACGGAAGGACCAGCACGCCTGCGGCCGCGGGAAGGGAAGCCACTGTCTCCGCCCCGTGAGGGATACCAGCAGAGCAGAACGGGCACGGGCAGCAGTGTACGCTATGCAGGGGGCATGAGAGTGGCAAAGCCGCGCGGGGTGCAGAGAGGGCAGCGGCGGTGAGAGCGCACCTCGTTGGCGTGGAGCATTCCGCCTGAGGTGGCAATGCCGACGCACATGGCGAGCATGTGCTGAAGTCCGAACGAGAGGGAGAGCGCGAGCGGGAGCTTCTCGTCTTTGGCCAGGTACATCGGCGGGTCGACCGCCTTGAGGCACGGCACCTAACGAAAGCGGACGGCAGCTGAGCGCTGCCAGCTTCGCTTCTAGGCGGTGCCCCGGCACCTGCGGCGTGCATAGAAACCGCCAATCGTAGCTGCCGATGAAGCCCTCCTTGGTCCAGCACTTGATGGCGCAGACGTCGCACCCGTTCTTCGCATCGGCGCCAGACGACGCGATCGCGATCTTCTTCTCTGTATTCTCGGCAACCTCGAGGTCCGCTGCGCGGATCGGAGGGGGTGCGAGGGGTCGGAGAGAGGGGGCGCCGGGCGCGGGCAGGGAAATGGCGGCGGACCCATGATGATTGCAGATCCTCTGACAAAAAGCGGTGGACGATCCTCTGTGTTTTGTGGGGGGGACGCACAGCAAGGGGGGTACCAGTGGGTGTCGGGGTTTGCTTGCGACTAGTGTGGGGAGGGGGCCAGCGCATGGGTTCGAATAATAGCACGGGCAGGGAAGGCGGCGGAGAGGGACCCATTGATGAGTCGTGCTGATCCTCTTCGATCCGCTTTTGTCAGTGCCGGGGGGGGGGCGGGGGGGGGGGCGGGGGGTCATACTGGCCGGGGAAAAAAGGGGTGTCGGGCTCGGGGTTTGCTTGCGACTAGTGTGGCGAGGAGATTCGGCGCCGCAATCTACGGCGTCTTGTATTTATGTGGTTTACGGCAATTCCACACAGAGAGATGTAAACCCCTCACGTGCTCGGGACATGCCGAAAAAGTGACCGACAGGCGGCGGCCCCTCTCGCGCGCCACGCCGCAACGTGTCTCAGTCGTCTCCAATCTCGATCTCCTCCGTCCCGATGACCTCCTCCTTGTACGACAGCTCCTCCTCCTCCTGCTCCTCGATGAGCGTATACGCAGACTCGTTGTCCGACTCGACGCCGCCGCGAAGCTCGATGCGCTGCGCGCGCGACGCGCGGTACTCGTCCGCCTGGGAAGGCAGGCAGGCGTGACGTCAGAGACATCGGACAGGCCGCGAAATCGGCCACTGCGGCGATATCTCGGCATTTTCTCGGCGATGTCTCGGCGATATCTCGGCAATGTCTCGGCGATGTCTCGGCGATGTCTCGGCGATGTCTCGGCGATATCTCGGCAATATCTCGGCGATGTCTCGGCGATATCTCGGCAATGTCTCGGCGATGTCTCGGCGAGGTCTCGGCGATGTCTCGGCGATATCTCGGCAATATCTCGGCGATGTCTCGGCGAGGTCTCGCCTTGAGGCGGAGGAACTCCTCGAAGGCGCGGTGCTTCTCGCGCCTCGCCTTGAGCTCGTCGCCCTTGAGCAGCGTCTTCAGCTTGGCGTCCTCCGCCTCGTACTTGCTCGAGTAGTCGCGCAAGTTCTTCCGAATCTCCTTCTCCTTGGCCTCGGGGAGGAGCGAGGGCGGCCGCGGCCTCCAGAGCAGCTGGTAGAGCTTGTCGCTCCGCCTAGTGTCGCCGTGAGGCACCGAGGGTCGCCGAGAGTCGCCTCCAAGAGCAGCTGGCGCGGCGTGTCGCGTCGCCTGTGGTCGAGCTGCCTGCCGTCTAGGAAGTGTCTAGGGAGTGTCTCGGAAGTGTCTCGGAAGTGTCGCGTCGCCTGTGGTCGAGCTGTCTTCCGTGCGACGACCACAGGTTGTACCCATTCTCCATCTGGTGGCGCCAGTGCGCGACCGACGTCATCAAGTAGCGGCCCGTCGGGTCCCACTCGATGTTTGAGCACATGAAGTGCTCCGCCTCGCCGATGGTCTGGCACGTGTTTGCGTCCAGCCACTCGAGGTTGCCCGCCGTCGCCTTGAGGTTCGCGAGCAGGAGAATGTTGCCCGCCGGCGACCAGAAGAGCGCGTTGCACGGCTTGCGCTCGAACGTCTTGAGCAGCGAACACTTGCCGTTGTGCCGCGAGCCCATCGTGTGCAGCGAGACGTCGGTGCGGCTCGCGTTGTTTGCGTCCGAGTGCACGAGCGCGAACCGGAGGCCTGTGGAGAGGGGAGATCGCCGGTCACGCGGCGGGGGCCTGTTGTGAGGGGGGGAGAGCGAGAGCGCGACGCGCTGCGCCCTTTGGCTCCCAGGCGAAGGCGAGGATCGACTGGTCCTTTGAGAACTCTTGCACCTGTTCACAGCTAGAGGTGTGAAGAGACGCTGTTCACAGCTAGAGGTCCTTTGAGAACTCTTGCACCTCGATGGGCACGCCCTTGTCGCGCAGTCGGAAGAGCTCAAAGGCCGAGTTGAGCGTCTTCTTGGACTTGGAGTGCTTGTCGACCTTGACGCAGAGGAAGTGGCCCTGGTCGTGCCACGTCATGCGCAGGTCGGCCACCTGGAAGAGGGGAGCGGGGTGGGGGTGGGGGCGGGGGCGGGGGTGGGGGGCAGGGTGTGGGGGCAGGTCGGGGGGCATGGCGAGCCACCTGGAAGAGGTTCTTCTGCCGCAGCTCGACGCGCGAGGGTAGCTCCATCAGGATGACCTGCGCGGGAGATGTGGGGAGATGTGGGGAGGTGTGCGGAGATGCGGGGAGGTGTGCGGAGATGCGGGGAGGTGCGGGGTGATGAGTTCCTCCGGTCCATACTGCTGCTGCCGCTGCCGCTGCTGCTGGTGGTGGTGGTGGTGCTGGTGCTGGTGCTGCTGGTGCTGCTGGTGCTGGTGCTGCTGCTAGCACCTTCGCGGGGTTGTTGAGGTGCTCCGGGATCCAGAGGGAGACGATGTTGTCCGTCGGCGACCAGGTGAACTGCCGCACCCCATCCACCTGTCGCAACAAGAAGACGGATGACATGGTTGGGGCGACTCCTGACTCGGTGCGGGTTGTCAGGAAGGAGCTCCTTGATGGAGGAGCGCTTGTCGTTCTTGTCCTTGATGAGCTTCATCGTCGACGACTCGTACACGTAGATGCAGTCGTCGCCGAGCCGCGCAAAGAACTGGTCGTCGTGCGACCAGCGGAAGGCGGGCCAGTTCTCCATCACCCCGTCCTCGCCCGCGCCGACGAAGGCGCGGCACTTTGCGCCCGTGCGCACGTCCCACACAATCAGCGCCTCCTTCTGGTCCCCCTCGGGCGACCACGTCACGAGGTAGTGCTCGCACGGCGAAAAGTCGAGCAGCTTGACGCCGCCGTGGTTGATCTTGAGCTGCCTCTGCCAGGACGGGCCGCCCCACAGCTGCACGCCTACGCAGGAAGGTTCCGAGACCCTTCCGAGGCTGCGACGCGGGCGGGCCGGGCCGCCCCACAGCTGCGCGCCGAGGCGGTGGAAGGTGGCGAGGTAGGAGCCGCGTGGCGACCTGCAGGAAGGGTCCGAGACACTTCCGGGCAGCCTCTCGGAAAGGGCGAGGCGGCGCCGGGCCGCGGCGGAAAGGGCGAGACGTGTATCTCGGCTGCCTCTCGGCTGCCTCTCGGCTGCCTCTCGGCTGCCTCTCGGCTGCCTCTCGGCTGCCTCTCGGCTGCCTCTCGGCAGCATCTCGGCAGCATCTCTCGCGGCACCACGAGACATAGTGCTCCGACCAGTTTCGCTTGCCGTACTCCGCTCTCTGGTCCGGCTTGAGCGGGTCGTTCCACCAGATCTCCGTCTCCTGGCCATGGGAGATTGGGGGGGGAGAGATGGGCGGAGAGATGGGGAGAGATGGGGGGAGGGAGAGATGTGTCTCTTCGTCGGTACCTGGTCGTACCGCAAGACAAACTGGTCGCGCGCGGCGTCGTCGAGCAGCCTGCCCGGCAGGGAGAACCACGAGTCAATCCATTCATTGCCCTCGGCTGGATCTCGGCGGTCTCTCGGCTGGAGCCCCGCACCAGTGGTGGATGTTCTCTCGCGGCACGTACGGCGGCGGCACGAACGGCTGCTCCTGGTCCGAGATGGCCATGTACTTTGCGTAGTCCTCAAAGGAGTTTACCACGAACGTGTGCGCCTTGTCGAGCTTGTAGCCGTCGGCCTTGCGGATGGCGGCAGCCGCCTCCTCGTTGGCCGCGAACTGGATGAATGCGAAGCCGAGCGTCGCGCCGGCGCCGTCGACCGGCAGCTCCAGCCCGTCCTCCACGATCGTCCCCACCTGGCCGCGTTTGGCGGGGGGCGTGTGAGCCGGGGAACCGCCGCCACCGCCGCCGCCGCCGCCGCCGCCGCCGCCCAGCCAAGCCCCCCCCCCCTCCCCCGCCGGCCCGCGACGTCGCCGCCCTCGCCCTCGCCGTGGCCGGCGCCGCCGCCGCGGCCACCCACCCTCTCTCTTCTGCCCTCGCCGCTCCGCCGCCGCTGGCTCTGAGAGCCGCTCCGGGTGCGCCCATGCACGGCGAGGCTGCACGCGGCTGCCTGCCCGCCCACCCGCCACGACGCTCACACCCCCCACCCCCATGCCGCGCCAGGCCCCGCGCGCGAGCCAAGTCTCCACCCGGCGGCGAGCCCGCCTGCGAAAAGAACTTGCGGACGACGTTGGCGAGCTTCTCGTGCTTCTCCTTGGGCACGACGGGGAGGCCGTCGACGACGATGGTCTGCTTGAAGGAGGTGTCGAGCTGGGGCTCCTCCTCGAGGTCGTCCTCAACCTCGTCCTCCGGGTCGGGAGCCATGCGCGTTCGCGAGTGTGGTGCGGCGCGGCAGCAGCGAGAGCTACGCGTGCTGGGCGCAGCGAAAAGAAATTTGGCTGCAGCAAACAGCCCGGGTTGTCTGTTTTCGAGGGGCCAGGATACGCCGCAAGGAGGACGGAGTTGCGCCGAGAGGCGAAAGAAGCCGCGAGAACAAGGGACCGGCAGGCGGCGGCGTCGCAGGACGAGGCAGAAGAGAACGACGCGACAGAGGGGGAAGTGACAAGGGAGAGAACGACGAGAGTGGGACAGCCGCGAGGTGGCATGAAGGTTGCAGCGAGAAGCGGCGAGAGACTGCGAAAAGAGATACGAGGAGGCAGACCCCCCAGGGTGGGCGACGGCTAGCGCATCACACCCTCCTCTCCTTAAAATCCCTGTGTGGTGGCGGCGTGCCGTTCTCCCATCCCTCCCTTGGGTTGTGTGTTTTCTTTCTTTCTTTCTTTTTGTCTGTTTTCTTTCTTTCTTTCTTTCTCTCACAAGACGTGACCTAACGTCACTAACGTCACAGCCAGACCAACGACTGGGGCACCAACGACCGTGGATGAAGGCACGAGAGGTGGAATGGCACCGTTGACAGCTGCGTGGCGGCGCGACGAGCCGCGACGGCGAGACGAGCCGCGAGGGCGCCACGACCAACGTGATTTTCTCGCTTTCGCGCAGAGGAGCGTGGTGGAGCTTCAGGCGTGCCGCGTCCCTCCGCGCCCTGCGCCCCCTCTCACGTTCCCGCTGGATGAAGAGGGACCACTGTTGCCTTCCAATGTAGCGAGCCGGTGACATCAAACTGTGATCATCGTTCCTGACAGCTCCGCCCGCACCGCCCGCGCGCCCGCCGCCCGACCCGCGCGCTTTCTAGCCCGGCAGCGCACAAACCGTGGCGCGCCGGGTCCACAATACGCGCGACACTGACGACGAGACTCAAGCTGAGAGTGCGCCGAGCTCCTCCCTCGGGCACCCTATCCCAACGCTCGCCGACACCGCCGCCCTAGGCGCGCCGTCATGGGCAAGGTTCACGGCTCGCTCGCGCGCGCCGGCAAGGTGCGCGGCCAGACGCCGAAGGTGTCGAAGCAGGAGAAGAAGAAGACGCAGGTGGGCCGTGCCAAGAAGCGGCTGCAGTACAACCGCCGCTTTGTGAACGTCGCCGTCGGCCTTGGCAAGAAGAAGGGCCCGAACACGCAGGTCCGCCTCGTCTGCCGCTCGCCGCCGCCCTCAAGACCGCCGCCGCCCCCCTCCCC